GGCTGTGCAAGGGGGGATTCGGGGGTGGGGGGGGGAGCGCTTTCCGACCCCCCTCGGGGATTTGTTTCGGGGGGGGGGGTTCTTCGACCCCCCCCATCAGGGATTTCTTCCAGCACAGCCGCGGGTGGCTCGCCCTCGGAGGCCCCCCGGCGGCTCGCCGTGGGCCCTCGGCGGCCCTGCGGCCCCGGCCGGTGGAGGCCCAGCTTGCTGTGCAGGCCGCAGAGGCTGCGGGGGCCCGTCTCCCGGGCCGCGCCAAGGGGCCTGAGCCTCCCGCGGCGGCCGCTCGGGGCGGCGGGCCCCCGATCGGGCGCCGCGCGGCGAGGGCGCCGCTCGGCGGAGAGCACCCGGAGGCCGGAGGTGGCCTCGGAGTGTTTGCTCGAGCGTCAGGGAGCGCTTCTCGGCGTCGGGAGCCAAGGGGGTCAGGGAGCGTCAGGGAGCGTCAGGGAGCGTCAAGGAGCGTCAGGAAGCGCTTGTCGGGAGCGTCAGGGGGCGGGGGTCAATGCAAAGGGGGGGTCAGCCAGAGCGCCCGATCTTGCAGGATCCTGCAGGGCCAGGGCCGCATTGGCCCAGGTTTGGGGGCAGGATCCTGCAGGATCCTGCGCGTTGACCCGGGTTTGGGTGCAGGATCTTGCAGGATCTCGCAGGGTTCTGCGAGGCTTGTCTGACCCGGGTCTGGATTGACCCGGGTCAGAAGATCCTCGACGCTTCCTCGCCGCGCCCCAGGACGGTCCCGACCGACTGGTCCGGAAACCGCTGGGGGTCGACGGAAGCGCCGCCCCGCCACCTCGAAAGAGCGGGGCGCGAGGATCAGCGCGAAGTTGTAGGCGACCTGGGGAAACCGTTCGGGGCCAACGGGGGCGTCTTCCCGCGGCATCGAACAGCTGGGGCGCTCGCCGTCGAGGCGCTGGCCGCGCCGGCCTCTGGGTCTGCCGGGGCGTCGGGGCGCTCGCCCCCTGGCTGCGCCCGGGCGGCCGCCTCGTGCTGCTCGCGTGCTCGGACCGCAACCCGGACCCCTGGGAGGGGCCGCCCAGGCGGTCGGCATGGAGGGCACCACAGGGAGCCACAGCCCCAGACCCCCTCGAGTTATGAAAAAATCACGACGGGAGGTTTTTCACTGTTTTTGGCCTCTGGGGGCCCTTACCGGCCCTCGGGACCGTCAAAAAACGACTCGGGACGGAAAGCCGGTCCCGGGGAATGGGTCGAGACCTCGGGGGGTCGGCGTCATGAAAAAATCATGACGTCGGGGATCTGGGGCCACAGGTAGGGTTTGGCCTTCTGCCACGGTGGTCCTTGCACTATGGGGGCCACATGCGAACCCTGGCCCTGCCCCTCCCCCTCAGAAATCGTGGGGGGTAGGGGTAGGGTTCGCATGTGGCCCCCTATGCATGACGGGCTTCTGGGTGATGCAGAAGCTGTGCCCTGACACAAGCTCGCCTTCGCAGAAGCTGTGGGACGGCCACGCTGGGGTGCATGCGGTAGCACTGGTCAAGGAGCACGTTGTGTGCTCGGCGCCGTTTCCCAACGAGTCGTGGAGCGACACGCATCGGGATGGGCCAGGAACTTTGGGAGAGCGTGTCGCCCCGCCGGTTCTGGCCAACCACGCCTCAGCGACATGCGATCCATCTCTCAGTCCCTAGGCTTCACCCTGCGGAGCGGAGCGACACGTCATCCGCTCGCACGGCGCAGCGTGTCGCTGGGGCCGCCGCAGCGACACGCCGAACCACTTTTTCCCGCCAGAGCGCTGCAAGGACAATCCCGCACGCGCGCTCTTCTGGGCCAGGCGGTGGCAGACACTATCTGTCCGCCGGCAAGAGGGGGAGACGAGGGCGGAGCGCGGCCGCGGAGGGAGGAAGGGGGGGGAGGACGCTCACAGCGCGAGAACCACAACCACAGGTGAGTGGATTTTTCCTGGAGGGCCCCTCGGGGGAGAACACACCGACCATGACGCGAGCACCTCGGTTGCGGTGGTGGTCGGTTTGGCCGTTCTGGGGCTTCCACAACGACCACAACCCGAATTGAGCTGGTTTCGGTGTTCTGACGATGCTTGGCATGCGCAAAAGATCCCCCAGGGTGGTCACTTGCTGATCCCGCAGGCATGGAGGGTACCCGTGCGAGACGGGGATCCAGCTTCGCATCTGCTGGAGGGGCGAGGTGGCCCAGCACTGGTTCCTGCCATCAGGAAGGGGGCAGAGAGGGCCCTCTCGTCGCCACGTCCGGACGTGGCTCGAACAACACTGGTCACTTTCGATTTCGGGAGGGGTCCTGGGGCCGATTTTGACCGGATTTGTCTTCGTCCTCCCCTCTTGACCGATTCTCTCGGGCTCGCCACGGTCGATCTCTGGTGGCCTCGGCGGGCGGTGGATATGGATGCTGGTCTCTATATATATATATATATATATATACATATAACGGCGCACCGGGTCCGGGGGCCCGGGGCCGGGACCTCGACCGCAAATGTGCACCCCGGGGGGCCCGGAGGCTCGTCGGGGCTTGCCGGAGGCCTCCCCGGTCAGACAAGACGGCCCCAGAAACGCCCAAGACGGCCCAAGAAACTTCCAAGAGGCCTCCAAGAGGGCTCCGAGATGCTGAAGATGGCCTCCAGACGTCCAAGGACGCCCCCAATAGGCCCCAAGAAGCCTCCAACATGCGTCCCAAGAGGGCCCCTAGACGCACAAATTGGCCCATTCCCTTCGTAAAACGTACATTTTTCACAAAGTTGCCTTTTGGGCTTTCCGACATTACAGGACGGCCCAAGAGGCGCCCAAGACCGCCCCAAGACGGGCCAAGAAGCTCCCAAGAGTGCCCCAGGACAGCCCAAGAGGGCCCCAAACCGGCCCAAGAGGCGCCCAAGATGGCCCAAGAGGGCCCCAAGACGGGCCCAAGAGGGGGCCCAGATGGGGGACCACGAACCGCAAGCTCGAGCCTTCCGCCCCAAGAGGCCGCCAGCAGGCCCCCAGGAGGCCCCTCAAGAGGCCCCAGGAGACCCCAGACGTCCAAGGACGCCCCCAAGAGGCTCCAAGAAGCCTCCAACATGCGTCCCAAGAGGGCCCCTAGACGCAAGAATTGGCCCATTCCTTTCGTAAAACGTACATTTTTGATACATTTTTGACAAAGTCGCCTTTTGGGCTTTCCGACGTTACAGGACGGCCCAAGAGGCGCCCAAGACCGCCCCAAGACGGCCCAAGAAGCTTCCAAGAGGGCCCCAGGACAGCCCAAGAGGGCCCCAAGACGGCCCAAGAGGCGCCCAAGATGGCCCAAGAGGCCCCCAAGACGGGCCCAAGAGGGGGCCCAGAGGGGGACCACGAACCGCAAGCTCGAGCCTTCCGCCCCAAGAGGCCGCCAGGAGGCCCCCAGGAGGCCCCTCAAGAGGCCCCAGGAGACCCCAGCCGTCCAAGGACGCCCCCAAGAGGCTCCAAGAAGCCTCCAACATGCGTCCCAAGGGGGCCCCTAGACGCAAGAATTGGCCCATTCCCTACGTAAAACGTACATTATTAACAAAGTCGCCTTTTGGGCTCTCCGACGTTACAGGACGGCCCAAGAGGCGCCCAAGACCGCCCCAAGACGGCCCAAGAAGCTTCCAAGAGGGCCCCAGGACAGCCCAAGAGGGCCCCAAGACGGCCCAAGAGGCGCCCAAGATGGCCCAAGAGGGGCCCAAGACGGGCCCAAGAGGGGGCCCAGAGGGGGACCACGAACCGCAAGCTCGAGCCTTCCGCCCCAAGAGGCCGCCAGGAGGCCCCCAGGAGGCCCCTCAAGAGGCCACAGGAGACCCCAGACGTCCAAGGACGCCCCCACGACGCTTGCGTCACAATTTCTATCACAACGATCCTGGGGCTGTGACTCGACAGAACCTAAGCGCGCGCGAAGCGCGCGCGTGGTTTTCTAGTTTATATATATATATATATATATATATATAGATATATATATCTATATTGAATAATATTAGATATATATGCCACCCCAGGGCCCGAGCATGTCCACCTCCACCGCCTGCCGCGGTCCCCGCCCGCCGCGCAACCCAGATCTCCGAAGATCTGTTTCTGTGCAGGCGCAGCGCTGTTCCTTCGCTGTGGCCTGCTCGGGGCCGCTCTCGGGCCCCCGGGGCCGTCGGGGGTGGACCTTGGGCGCAGAGCTCTGGGGGGGGGGGGTCGGGAGGCTCTTGACGGGCCTGTTTTCCACCACCACCACCACCACCACCACCACCACCACTGGAGGGGAGGGGGTCCTCCTCCTCCTCTTCTCCTTCCTCCTCCTCCTCCTCCTCCTCCTCCTCCTCCTCCTCCTCCTCCTCCCCCCCCATCCAACTTATGGTGGTGGTGGTGGTGGTGGAAAACAGGCCCAGCAGCTCTGGGGCTGCGGACTGAACAGGTCATGTCGGGGAGCGACTGCGGGGGAGGGGTCCTGGAGGTTTCTCGCCGCGCTCGGGGTCCCCGTGCCCTTTGCCGCGCCCCAGGGGCGGCAACAGGATGGCCCGGGATGCAGAGTTGGCCCTGGGGGACGGGCCCCGAGGTGCAGGATCCGTCTCCCTCGGGATTCTTATGTTTCATGCCCGAGGCGGATCTCCGAGCGACGCGCCCGTGCTCTGCGTGGCGGCGCGCGCAAAGGCGGGCCTCGCTGGCGCCAGGTGAACACGTTTCGACGTCGACCTCGGGGAGACTTCCTGGAGGCTTCTTGCCGCCACGGCTGGACACACCTCAGCAGTTTCGTCGGATCGTTACCCTGCAGGGCTGGGGGGGCGAGTTGCGAGCCCCGAGCCCGAAGCTCCTCGCGTCGTGACAAACTAGTTTTGTTTGTTCTCTGCCTCCAGGGGCCGTTTTCGGCTCCGGGGCCATCAGCAAACGCAATCTGGGAGGAAACGCAGTGGTCCAGAGTTTCAGGGACCCCGTAATAATTGAGACAATCCAGAGATCGGAGGTCTGGGAAAGGGTGTGGGGTGAGGAGGGCTTCAGGAGGTCTGGTCTCCAGGATGTTGGCGCTCGTTCGCCTTCTTCTGGGTCCCTCTGGAGGGCGCTCGCGGCCGCCTGCAGAAACAGAAATTTTGGGAGCCCCGTGCGGATTTCTCAGACTTGCGCCGGGCGGAGCGCGCCAGGGAGGGGGAGCCAGCGCGGATCCAAAAAATCAGCGCGGGATTCCCAAAGTCTAGGCTTACGGTCAAAACAAAGAAGGACCACTTCGGGCTCAGCAGGGGCCCTGGCTTTTCCGGGCCGCTCCTTCGACCTCTGGGTCGGGGAACCTCTCCGTGGCGAGGCCCTCCAGGGCCAGACACGCCCTTTCGTTTTCCTTATCCAGCGCCCGCTGTGGCAGCACGATGGCTCCGTGTCGACTCTGCTCCCCCCTGCAAGCCCCCGTGCCTTCACTAGGGGGCCACGTGCGAACCCCACTCCTACCCCCCCACGACTTCTGAGGGGCAGGGTGGGGTTCACTTCGCTCGGGAGCTCCCGAGCGAAGCGAACCCCACCCCATTCGCGCAGGGCCTCCGCCCCGAGACTACCCCCCCCCACGCGCCGCCCGCCGCGTGCGCGCCGCCGGCCTGCTGTGCCAGTCGGCGGGCTGGCGCGTGGAGCGGGTGAGGCACTGCGTGTACGAGAACAACAGCCGAGCGACGAAAGGGAACGGGCCTCACGCGAGAGGTCGTGCCGGGGGTGGACAGACCTCCTACAGTCGGGGCTCTGAAGAAGGAACCTTTTTCGTTCGGGAGGGGCTCCGTGTTCCTTAATTGTTTCACAGCTTGCTTTAAGTTTTCCTTAGGTTTTCGAAGGGGACATCGAACTTTAACTGATGGGAAAAAGGGGCCTCGTTCCTTATTTAGGGTTCCTTGGGTCAACGCCCCGACGGTACCCTGACAAGTCGATTAGCGAATTGGCCGTTTTCGGTTCGCGAGAGCTTGACCGAGATTCTCTGGGCTTATCCAGCTCAGACCCCCCAGCCGCCTCCGAGGTCACCCACAGGGGCGCCAAGTCAGCAAAAGGTCCGTCGAGATTTTTCTTGCCAACTAGCTCTCCAGCGCGCCGGAACTGGGACCGGCGGTAAACCGTCAACCAGGTTACCGCCGGAACCCTCGTAGAGCTCTGTTCTCGCACGGCCCTGCTCGTTACAATTGCAGGTAGAGTCTGGAAGAGAATCCCAGAAAACTCGAAAATTTGTGTCGGGGTCGGCGGACGTCGGCTCTGCGACGCGCGTGAGCGCTGCGGGAGCGAGAGTGCGCGTGCGGTGGCGAGAGAAGCAGCACCAAAGAAGCTCGAAAAAGACGCGCTTGAGAGAGCCCGCGGCCAAAGCAGCACCGAAAAGAGCTCGAAACAGACTGTTTTAGAGAGCCCGCGGCCGGCGGAGGGTCTCATGTTCTTGAAGGATGTATTTTTGTCCTAGGTCCGGCCGCAATGTCGGGAGGCATAGTCAGGGACAACGTCAGAAGGGATAGGCTCAGGGGGGGATGCATTGACCCCGAATCGCCCACTCATAGCCGATTGGGGTTTGATAGCCCACACCGCCCAGGAAAGTGCGGATTCTCTATTGGAGGCCGATCGCCGATGTATCGCCGATGTATCGCCGACTCCAGGTCGATGGTTTCCCTTCTGAGCTGCCTCCCCCCCTATCGTTGCCTCTCATAGGTGAGCTGCCCGCGAGAGGTCGCAATCTAAGCACCCTCTTCTCTAGGTGTATACTGCGGCTCTGCAGGCCTGCGTGAGCCACCGCGCAAGGTCGGTGTTGCAGCTGCCCTCATGCGTAACAGCCCTTCCTCTTCGTCGCTCGTTTGGGAGGGGGAGGAGCGCAGCGCACCTCGCTGTCGCCCTCCTACTCCTTACCTCCTTACCCTCTCTCTCTCTCTTTCTCCCTTTCCTCTCTTTCCCTCTGTCTCCCTCTACTTGTTTGTTGTTATTTATTTGGTGTTTCTCTCTCTCTCTCTCTCGCCTTCTTCTTCTCCTTCTCCTTCTCCTTCTCCTTCTTTCTTTTTTTCTTTCTTTCTCTCTCTCTCTCTCTCTCTCTCTCTCTCTCTTTAAAAATAAATGTATATGTGCAGCGGCGTTACAAACGTCTCGTCATGACTTGATATTCCATCATCTTGCGTTGGCAGGGCATGATCCCGCCCATTGGGATTTCTAAAATCGTGTGTCTTGACGTCGGGGTTAAACTGACCCAGTTTAGATATAGTACGCATAGACGTTACATATATATATATATATATATATATATACAGATAGGAAGGTGCCGCCGCGCAGCCCGCCGCCGCACTTTCATCACTGCACAGTAGGGAGCTCCACCGAAGGCCCCACTGGCAGGGTTCGCATGGCGCCACCGCGCCCACGTCGGCACACCCTTCACACGTTTCGTGGCCAAATACGGAACTTTACCGAGGGCCCCAGCGGCAGGGTTCGTATGACATCACCGCACCCATTTCGGCACACCCCGCGCACGCTTCGTGGCCCCATAGGGAGCCCCACCGAAGGCCCAACTGGCAGGCTTCGCGTGGCGCCACCGCACCCATTTCGGCACACCACTCACACGTTTCGTGGCCTCACAGGGAGCTCCACCCAAGGCCACAGTGGCAGGGTTTGCATGGCGCCACCGCGCCCACGTCGGCACACCCCTCACACGTTTCGTGGCCCCATAGGGAGCCCCACCGAAGGCCCAACTGGCAGGCTTCGCATGGCGCCACCGCGCCCACGTCGGCACACCCCTCACACGTTTCGTGGCCCCATATGGAGTCCCACCGAAGGCCCCACTGACAGGGTTCGCATGGCGCCACCGCATTCATTTCGACACATGGCGCCACCGCACCCGTTTCGACACACCAATCACACGTTTCGTGGCCACACATGGAGCTCTACCGAAGGCCCCAGTGGCAAGGTTCGCATGGCGCCACCGCACCCATTTCGGCACACCCATAATACGTTTCGTGGCCCCAGTGGGAGCTCCACCGAAGGCCCCAGTGGCAGGGTTCGCATGGCGCCACCGCACCCATTTCGGCACACCCATCACACGTTTCGTGGCCCCAGTGGAAGCTCCACTGAAGGCCCCAGTGGCAGGGTTCGCATGGCGCCACCGCACCCATTTCGGCACACCCCTCACACGCTTCGTGGCCCCATAAGGAGCTCCACCGAAGGCCCCAGTGGCAAGATTCGCATGGCGCCACTGCGCCCATGTCGCCGCACCGCTCACACGTTTCGTGGCCCCATAGGGGGCTCCACCGAAGGCGGGGCTCACAATTGCGGTATTCACAATTGTATATGGTTGGGCCCGCCGCCAGGATAATGTTATTATTGTGCATCTTCACTCGTCGTCGTCGTCATTCGTGGGGCTCATCATGGCAAGGAGGAGGCGGATGAGGAGGAGGAGGAGGAGGAGGAGGAAGAGGAGGGGGGAGGAGGAGGAGGTTGGGATGAGGAGGAGGACCGATGAGGAGAGAGGGTGGGGGAACCATGGACGAGATGATGCTAGTGATGCTGATGCTGATGATGATGATGGTGGTGGTGATGGTGATGATGATGATGATGATGATGATTATGATGATGATGATGCTGATATCGGTGATGATGCTGACGACGATGATGATGGTGTTGGTGGTGATGATGATGAAGATGGTGATGCTGATGGTGGTGATGATGATAATGCTGATGATGACAATGATGGTGATGATGAGGATGATGATGAAGACGAATCTGATGATGATGGTGATGGTGATGGTGATGGTGATGATGATGGTGCTGATGCTGCTAATGATGGTGATTGGCGATGGTCATACGTGTGATGCTTATGATGATGATAACGATGCTGGTGGTGGTGATGATGATGCTGATGGTGATGGTGATGCCGATGATGATGGCTACGATGATGATGGTGCTGTTGCTGGTGATGCTAATGTGCTGGTGATGGTGATGGTGATGGTGATGATGATGATGATGATGCTGCTGCTGCTGATGATGATGGTGCTGATGATGCTATTGGTTATGCTGATGCTGATGCCGATGCCGGTGCTGATAGCAATGGTTGCGATTATGATGCTGATGCTGATGGTGATGGTGATGCCGATGATGATGACGATGATGATAGGGGTGGTGATGCTGATGCTGATGATGATGATGATGATGATGATGGCGATGATGATGATGGTGATGATGATGAAGAATAAGAAGAAGACGAAGATGATGATGATGATGATGATGATGATGATGATGATGATGATGATGATGATGATGATGATGATGATGATGATGATGATGATGATGATGATGTTGGAGGCAAGGTGCTGATACTGATGCTGGTGCCGATGCTGATGATGGTGTTCACGATGGTGATGATGATGCTGATGATGATAATGATCGTGAACGTGATGCTGGTGGTGATGTTGTGAATGGTGATGACGACGGTGCTGGTGATTGTGACGATGATTTTGTTGTTTGTTCCCCACCATCCTGTGGTGTTGGGTCCTCGTTTTGATGAGACAGCGCCCCGCGTCACTCACCTCACCTCCCGCTGCCCCCTCCTCCCTCCTCGCCTCCCTGCTTCTGCTCTTCGCATGCCCACCATTTCGGCACACCCCTCACGAGGATCGTGGCCCCATGGGGAGCTCCACCGAAGGTCCCAGTGGCGCAGGCCGCATGCGCCCGACGCCCATTTTGGCACACCACTC